AATGAGGGGGATGCAAGCTCGGGGCATCCATCCAGGTCATGTCATGGGACGTGAGGAATCTGCATCCTCAACCAGAACAGAATCTTCTTCTCTACTGTCCTCACCACTCCCCTGTGAACAGCCAGCCCCGATTCCAGATTGGAACCCTGGATGAAGGATGGCAAGGGACTGTCCTTGTAGCAGCCATACCCTTGGATGCAGGGCTACTGGCACAGGGCAGGGTGACCGCTGGGATGTACCCAAGGGCACCATAAGTGTGACATCCCATCCACGGAGCTCTCAGTGCCCCATGTGTATGTCCACAGGTCCCCCAGATTTCGAAGAGGAACTGGCTGACTGCACAGCTGAGCTGGGCGAGACAGTCAAGTTGGCCTGCCGTGTGATGGGCACACCCAAGCCTGTCGTCAGCTGGTACAAAGGTACACTGCTGGGGCCAAGAGTCCCCAGCCCCACTGTGGGTGTGGGCCCTGCAACAGAGAAGATCCGCCTGGAGAGAAACGGGCTGTGCAAAGGCTGAGGACCCAGTGCGGGAGGCTGGTCAGGGGCCTGGGGCATGAGGGACAGAAACAGACCGCCCTGTGCAAGGGGGCTGAGCTGATAGCGGGGAGACAGGTGACATGCAGGGAAATAAACCTAAATATAAAGTCGAATGGTGATGTGGCCGCCCAGAGGAATTAAGGCAAGGGGCAGAGTGATGGCTCAGGACAGGCTTCTGAGGCAGACACATCTGAAGAGCTCTGAATGAGCAGCAAGGCAGCCTTGAGAGCATGGCGTGGGGAGCAGAGGTGGAGAAACTGAGGCGGACACTGCTTAGGTGTTGGAGTGACTTGTGTGGCCATGTGAGCAGGATGAGCCACAAGGGTGAGGGTGGTGATGATGTTGGGGTTTGAGGGTCATGGTTGGCATCTGGCATTTGACTCATGATGGGAGCTGTGAAATTCAGGGGTCAGAAGGACCAATCTCACTTCTGATATTAGTTGCAAGTTCAGGGGTCCCCAAGACCACCTTCACTTTTGACATCAAGTGAGGGGCTCCAAGACAAACTTCACTTATGACACCTACTACAGGTTCAGGGGCCCCCAAGACACACCTTCAGGTTTATTAATTCACTAGTAGGACTCATAGAACTCATCAAAGCCGTTTTACGCAGGGTTATGGCTTATTGTAGCAAATAGACCCAAAGTAAAGTCAGCTACGGGAAGAGGCGCCTGGGTCAGGGTCAGGGTCCAGGCATCACCAAGCACAGGCTTCCAGTTGTTCCCTCCCAGTGGAGTCATGTGGACAGCACCTATTTTTCCCAATAACAGTGTGTGACAACATGCATGGGGTATTGCCAACCAGGAAAGCTCACTGAGCCTTGGTGTCCAGGGTTTTATTAGGGCTTAGTCATGTGGGTATGCCTGACCACTTGTGTGGCTGACCCCAGCCTCTAGCCCTTCCCAAGGTCGAGCTGATACTGCATGGCCCGGAGCCCCCACCAAAAATCTTATTGTTACCATAGAGTATCTGGTGTGGTCCAGAGCCTCCACCATAAACCTCATTGTTAGCAAAGAGTACCCGACGTGGCTCAGAATCTACACCATAAATCTCATTGTTAGCATAGACAATCTGACATGGCCCAAGGCCACCAGGAAAATAGACACTTTTATCAGGCAGGACAGCCTTTTACCTGAAGGCTTTCAGGTCACCTTCCTGGAGGATCAGGGGCCAAGGCCAGGCCTCTCTTTGGGCAGCATCGACCCTTCAGTGTACTGGAGCCATGTAGAATTTTGAGCAGCAGAGGGACACAGTATGGCTTCTATTATCTGTCACCTTGGCTGCAATGCCAGCAACCTTCAGGGGATAGCTAAGCGGGGGCACAGAGAAGCAGCCTGGGAATCAGGGTGTTAACACTGGGGGCTCAGGCATGGGTGGTGGCTGTGGTTGGCTTCTGGATGTATTTTGAAGGCAGAGCCAGCTAAATTTGCTGATGGGTTGGAAGGGATGTGTGGGAAAGGGATTGGTGTCCGGGAAGACCACATGGTTGGGACACAGTGGTTGCATTTATGGAGGTGGGAGGACCCGGGGAGAGGTAGTTTGGTGTGCAGACAGAGCTGGGCTGGGGAAAGAAGTGTCTGATCTGGGGAGGACTGAAGATTTGAGGTGCCCGTGGGTGGAGGTGTTGGGGTGGTTAGAAAATCTAGAGTTCAGGGGAGGGGTCTCTCCTGAGTTGAGAAATGGGGGAGTTGTCCATGTATCTGAAACATCTGGTCGATATGGACGTGGAATGACTGGAGAGAGATGAGGTCCAGCATGGACACTTGGGGGCTCTGACTTACAGAGTCTGGAGAGAGGAGGAAAAATGAGACGAAGGGAAGGAGCAGCTGGAGGGAAGGGAAGGCCCCAGGGAGCCCATGAGGAAGGACAGCCAGGTGGAGAGTGACCAAGAGCACCCAGAGCTGCTCGAGAGTCCCAGGAACCATGACAGTCTGCCCTTGTGCCCCACTTATATGCATGCAGGCTGGCGTGCCATGGTTTATACATGTACACACTCTGCACACGCTTTTATGCATAGAAGTACATGTCACACACATGCAAACACACGTACGCACCAGATACATGCCACACACATATACACATAGATAGGATATGCATATACATATGTACACAGGCACCACACGCCCATACGTGCATAGACACACACTGTACGTACATTTGTACTCAGACACACACCACACATGCATACATATAGGTAACACACACGCACACATGTACATAGACATGTACACATATGTAGATACATGCGACACAATACATGTACAGACATGCACTGCACACATTTACGTATAGATAATACGCACAGGCTCGTGTGTACATAGATACCACACACACACACATACGTAGATATGTGCTACACCCATGTATGCCCATATACACACAGATACCGTATGTAGATATACTACATATTTATGTGTACACATACATGCCATGCACATATATACATACTGCACACATCTGTACACATACACACCAGGCATATATACCTGAACACTAAAAACTTATACACACATATATACGTAGTCACACAACATTCATACAGATACCGTATGTAGATATACTACATATTTATGTGTACACATACATGCCATGCACATATATACATACTGCGCACATCTGTACACATACACACCAGACATATATACCTGAACACTAAAAACTTATACACACATATATACGTAGTCACACAACATTCATATGTGAGGGCACTTCAAAATATTCATGGAAAAATGGAATTGAAAGACAGTACAAATCTTTCCATGGACTCTTTGAAGTCCCCTTGTGTGCATACATACGTAGATACACACACAGACACACAGAAGACACAAGACCTGTGGGTCCGAGACAAAGACGGTCTACTGCTCCTTGTCAAGCTGCAGGCAGGGCAGCACCTTGTGTCGGTTCTCCATACTCCATTCCTCACAGACAGCCTGGGGAGACCATATGTTACGTGCACTTGCAGTGGGCTGCACCATGGATTTGGGGGCTTCGTTTCTACTACATGGGATCTCCAGGGAGGGAGACATCTCTGCTCCACTCTCCTGGAATATCTCCTTCTATGAACATTCTCAACTTGGCCATGAATGCCGTTATCCAGCACTTCTAGCCTGCAGGCATATGAGCCACCCACGGGGTGCTGTATCCCAAGGGACCTAGCTCCACCCCATTTTCACATGGTGCCAGTCTCTGCTGGGCTTTACCAGGTATATGCCACTCCCTCGGCCACCCTGACTAATCTGACCAACATGGCCTGGGACCCAGTCCATCTGGTATGACTCGTGCTTCATTTAATGAGGGCTCTTGGCAGGACTTGGCACCAGGAAGAGGCCACCTGTGTGACTGACCCCAGCTGTGTCCCCAGGGTCCCACATCCAGCCAGCTGAGCAATTCCATACAGCCAGGTGACTGTCTCCTTGAGTTTCTACAGTGACTTTCATGCCCGGCCTGAGGCATTAATTCAGGCCCAGCATTACCTTATCTACCTGGTACAGCATTACCTGATACACCTGCCCAGACACTGCCTGGCCCCAAGGAGGAAGGTTTGGGAAATGCTACCATTTATAACAACCCTAGCCAGTTGAGGCTGACCTCAGTGCCCCTGGGCCAGGGTGGTGTTAGTGACCACTCAAGCTAAAGGCAGGGATGTATCTTGTGCTGTCTCTTCTACTAGAAAGACCCCGATTGTAACTAGAACCTATCGCATGTGCACATGAATAATGATCTTGGCTCCCTCTGGAAGCTTTAAGTCCCAGAGGGCAGCCTCGCTAAATGGGAGATCTCCGCAGTTGTCTGAGGGCTACGTGATCTACTGGTAGGGTTCCCTTAAACACACTACAGTCTTCTGTAACCACCTCAGGGTGCACATCATCATGTGTATGGGATGGAGGCAGGTCCATGTCTGGTTCCAACACAGAAAGTCCTTAGAGCATGATTATTGTTTACAATTTGGGGGCTCCCAGGGGGACACACTCCAGACAGCACTGGTTGACAGTGTCTCCCACAGGGCTCCCACAGGATCACCTCAGCTGTCAGGTAATTCTTACCTGGGCTGTTAGGTAAGCCTCACCTGGGCCAGCTGATAAGCCTTCAAGTCCCCAGTTTAGTCCTAATCATTGAGTCTAGTTCTGGTTTTGGAGGAGCCATCCCAGGGTGGTCGGTCCTTCCTGTCCTGCTTGTCCACAACCAGCTGGGGGCGTTTGTCCACCCACAAATGACTGCAGATGGGCTAGAGAAGACACCCAGCTGGGACATGCAGGAGGAGACATCCCTGTGTCCCCTGGTCAGAGCCGTCAGGTGGCCCGAACTGGTGGACACAGTGACTGGTTCCTGGTGGTGGCTTGGGAGAGCCGACCCAAGGGTCTTCCTTCTGGAGCAGGGCTCCAGGGTGGATCATTAACAACCCACTGCCCCGCACACCCTGGGGACTGAGGGGCTTTCTTCCCAGCCACCGGAGTTGCTCTCTTACAACCTGCCCAGAACCTGTCTTTTTACCCAACCATCCCCTCCTCATGACAGACTATCAGCTCATTGTTGAGTAGCTCTTGTGATCAATGGTTCCTGGGGACTGAGGGGCTTTCTTCCCAGCCACCGGAGTTGCTCTCTTACAACCTGCCCAGAACCTGTCTTTTTACCGAACCATCCCCTCCTCATGACAGACTATCAGCTCATTGTTGAGTAGCTCTTGTGATCAATGGTGCAGGTCGCCAAACTGCAGATGGTCCATGCTGCACATGCGTGGTCTGTGTTGACCACAAGGCCATGTGGTGTGGCTAGAGCTGGCTGTTCACTGACCAGAAGGTCTCTCTGTGGGCAGGCACCACAGATAGCCCCAAGGGGTGGCTGGTTCTATGGATGTGCCAGGATGGAGAGTGGGGGTGCCCTG